ACCCAAGAATTTATTCAAAATACAAACGAGTTTCATGTTGTACGGTATTAACAGTAAGTATTTTAAAAGCAGTATCGCTTTTTCCAAAAGTAAAAAAAAATGAAAAAAGTAACCCCCTGTTAAATTTCCTTAACATAGGGTATATAACTGGAAAATACTGGAAGGCATACTGCCTGCCTTTGGCCGGAGGCATGGTGGTCTCTACCATTCTACAAAACTGCTAGGGCTGAATTTGCTATGGGAGTGCTCGTTGCATATTTGTGCGTTTCTTGAAGCGACAGAGTTACAACAAGTTAGTCAAAAATATAAGGTTTGGAGAGACGCTGAAGGATTTTGTTGAGACAGTTTTTGACCAAAGTTTAGAATAAGATTACATGCACACAGGACAGTAGAGTAACTGCTGTTCTATAGGAATTTGTTCGTTATTCTTCTGTATCTTATTTGCAAACACTAAGGCTATAAACAGTCGAGAAGCACTTGTATAAACAAGAAAAAATCAATGGAAATGTATTAAGAAAAGAAGAGAAACCGTGCCTGCAAACAAAATTATTTAAAAAGTGATGTAGAAAGTAGTCTTGGTGGACTAGATAAAGCTTTAGTTTCAGGTTTTAATTTTTTCGTCTAATCCATGGCAACGATTTGGAACATAAATTGTTTATCCTTGCTACATATTTTCCTGCCGACTGTCAACGTAGCTGTTGTTTTTTCGTTGCTGCGGTTACAGGTGTTGTCAGAGTAAGCATCTGCTAAGCAAAAAATGTCTTTGTGTACAGCTTTTTATATGGGGATCTGTAGACGCCGTGCGTGTGGACGTTTGATCTTTTATGAGGCGGTTAGCTTTTTACAACATTTTTTGTTTAAAACTTCACAGCATTTTGAGTAAGTATAGACTAAAATTGAAAGGACAATAATATATCATTAGAATTATCAATTACATTACGGTACAAATGATTAACTCACTAACACTTGAAAATTGTTCCTGCATGTTAGGTGTTACCTGTTTCTTACCTCAAGGTTTACTCCCTCTGGTACTGTTGCAGTGATCTTAGATCACATGGCCACCGATCTATCTGTGGTCACTTTGATACGCCTATTAAATAAGCTGTTGACCAATGTTATCAGGATTCCTATTAGTTCATCATCATCTGGTTAATTCTGCCCCACTTTATTATTACTTTAGCCCCCGTATTCATTCGGGCCGCTTCTATCTTTTTTTACTGGATTTCTTTTCTATTTGTTATTGTCGTTTTTTTCTTTGCTTTGCGTTATAGGACTAAAACATTCTTCTTCCTAAACTTGGATACATTCGGAACTCACGCTTTGTTAGGCTGAACAGAAACGCAACACTGCATGAAACTGGCTATTTACATCCATCTTCGCCACCGTCAACTTAGCTTCACTTTAATCACACAGGCTGGATTTCATTTCATCGCTGTAGTTATAAAAACCATTTTCCAGAGTTATATTCATTTGTAATGATGCTTCAGTCAAGCTTTGACTTTCGTACCAGATCGAATTTTTTTTTGTTTTCTGTGTAAAAAACATCATATGAACATAAAAAACAGTTGTGGAATTTTATTGAAGTCTTAACGTCTTCCTCACAAAATTTTTCCATTTTATTACTTCTTTTTAAGTAAATTTTTTTTTATAAATGCTTTCAGTGCTAGGCTACGTAACTTAACAATGGCAGTCTCCTGCTAAATTGAAAGTACAGTTTAGGTAAAAGCAACGAAATCAACAATCATCTGTTTTCGTAACAAAATTACTGTTTCTCGGTACCGTATAAAATCAAACAAATAAACTGGTGCGAAAATGTGGGCAAAAAGACCAGTGCTAATATTCCTGCCGCTATAATGTGTCTTCTCACACCTCGCCAAGTTTTGACACAGTGGCTCATATATCGCACAGGTCTGGCACCATAGTCACTTAAAAATAAGCGGCATTATTAGCGGCCTGTGAGAAATGGTCACCACACCGTTCTGGTCAGCTTTATTCTTTACCGTTTGACGCGCATGTAATTAGTACTGGTGTGTAGTCTTAAGATGTTTCGTTCAAATTAACTCTCTTATTAAAGTAAAGTCAATTTCATTTAAGCCATCATAATTTGCTAGTACACTTTAGTATTCTTTGGAATAATCCTAATACTGCTAAAATTACTTTTGAAATATTTTAAATATAAATTTTTTATTAAAAGCTGCCACTTTGTTTTGAACGGTCTTTATCTTTACTTGGGCGGTGCTGATGTAAACATAATGGAAGAATTGTTTTAAAAAAAAAAAACAAATAGATATTTCTTTATTCACTAATTTTTATGATAAACTATGGAAAACATTGATGACTTCTTATTCGTATTTGCGCCTGAGTCAAGCTGGTGACGATAGCAATACAGAAAATTGAAGTAGAGAATAACCGTTACTTTTTATTCTTGAGGAGTATTCTAAACTAGGTGCCTTATGACAAAAATATGAGTTTGGGTTTTCCTAAACCATTTTTAACCAAAACTAGACATAATTAATGCAAAAAGCGGCGACACGGTGCAAACGGTGACAAAAATTTTGATTAAACATTAGATTTGATGTTGTTGATCGTTAGCAATGAGCATTTTTAGTAGAGCAAAGTTTTGATTGAAGTACTGCAGTGAAGTCTAATTCTTTCAAATAATAAAGTTGGAATTTAATAGACGTAAAAAGTCTGACTTCCTTTCATCAAAATTTCTAAGCGAAGTACATGTGGGTCAAATGCCATAGTATTACGGCTTTTAAATAGCCAGTCTTATTTTGCAAAGCCTTTTCACTTTTCCTTTGCATCTCTTGAGAGGGACCAGGAAGGTTGGCAGCTGTGTCTAGAACTTGCAGAAGCGTAGAGCACGTTCTGAACTCGCCAAACTGCTTTGTCAAGAGTATTATACAACTAGATCTCAGCAACTGTAGATTTCTTAAGAGGCACTTCTGAAACTTGTTTCTAGGATTACTGTGGGGGTGAGAAATAAGCATGTAAATCGTTCCATCCCTCTTACGATTACTGCAACTGTTGATTTCCTTCATAATTCGCCATTTTCACTAGAAACCTCTGTTGCTCTCTTTTGACAAATATAAGATTCTTTGTACATTTTTGTACTTTCTGGTGCACTGGTTCTTCAAGCGCATTTCTCTGTCTATTCTCAATTCTCAGGGACCCATTTCTGTGAAACTGTCTTTGTATTTTCAACGTTTTCGTTGTTCCTCAGACGCTTTACTCATACTCCAGTTCAGAAGTAGGTCGTTCCTCATGCACTTGGTTGTATACTCTTCTCACGACAGGTCAATCGCCTCAGACATTCTATTCATTTAATTGCATTTTATGTGAAACCATCCGACGGGGAATTTCACTAATTTTTTAATCAACTTTTTAAGAGCTTTTATTGTAGCCTTTCTCTGCACCTGGATAGTTCTTCTGGCACTTTCTGAGCTTGTATTCTGCTCAAGATTTGTCTCTAGAGAATCTGTAGACGTTTTGTAAACTTTGCTAGGTTGACCGATGGGGCGCTTTTTTTCATAAGTTTTTTCGAAACTTTTTAAGAAAAACCAGGAGAAATAAAGCTTTTGGACAGCTTTTTACCTTCAATTTGTGAAGTAATTAGGTTAATTGCAGTGCGATATAAAAACTTCTTGATATTGACTCGGAAAATAAGTGGTTATAGGCATTCAAATGATTACTTCTCTCAACCGACCTTTTGCTTTGTTTTGTATAACTACAGAACTGTCTTTGCGCACTCAATCACTTCCTTTCCAACGCAGTTCGGGATGCAAACGAATATGGAGGGCACTGCAAGTAAAAGTTATTCGAACAAAGTTTCCTGACAACAACTGTCTTTTACTTTACTTTTACGTCCTTGCGGTTTCGTATCAATAGTCATGTTGCCGGACGCTAACTAACAAACTTCTGAAGAGCCTATAAATTCCAGAAGCTTGTGTAGTTTAATTGGAATACCACATAATTAACCGTACTTCTATTTCAAGCCATATATTTAACTTTTTTTACGAAGTAACTTTTCGCTTGGTTCAGCAACTGGAACAAGCTATTGATAACTAATGACAGTTTTTGCAGATTGCCAGGTAATCAGTAATGTTGAATATTTACTGCTACTTAGTGTTCTAAATTTCACAAAAATTCTCCGCAATATTGAGGTACCTTAAATTTTTTTTGGCTTGGAAATAGCATCGAAGCACATTATCTGTAATTAGCAAAGATTTTTGTTAAACGCAGTGGACAGTACAGCTGGTTAAAGAATCAACTTTTTTGCTTCTTTTTATTCTTTTTTCCCATGTTCAATTTATCACACTAGAGCTCGGCTTGCGTTTTTGGATATTACTTTGTACAAGGGTTTTAGTTAGCAAAGAACGTTAATTCCGTTCAAAACACCACTTTTTTGGCCTTAATTTGTCCCGAAGCACTTTATGATAGTGAGTCGTTAACGTTGTAGCTGTCTGCAACTAATAATACCTTCTTATTTCTGGTACTGTCACACAAAGCAGCGTGTGAAGTAATCAGTGATTGTTACTAAAAATGAACTTTCTTCGAGCAACTAGCACAAGAGTCACAATACAAAAAGTTACACACAATTAAAATATATGCAGTCAATGAGTGAAGCTATTCCATGGAACAATACAATAAAACTACGAAATTTAGTGACCTACACATATACTGAATACTAATGAAGCCTAGTAAAGCAAACAGTTTTCTGATCACTGCATAGAATAATAGTTCTACAGTAGTTGCAAAAACTAAACTAACAATTGATTATCACTATAACAACCAGCTAAGACATTTCGGCTCATTCCTTAAAAAAGTCACAGGATCTCAAGTTTTACAATGGATATTTTAAAACCAATCGAACCAAAAGGTAAGGCAGACTCTTGGGAAGGGACTAAGACAGAACGACAGTCTATTTTCTTTAAGCGACGATTGATGCGCCATGAAACCACAGTTCTTCACCCAACACATTTTCAACACCATTTTCTTCAACCACCTCGATCAAAACCCCATCGCTGTCTGTAAGCGTCCTCGCTTTTATCCCCTTCATCAAAATCTCCATTGGCTTCTCTGTCCTTTTCGGCATCAAAAGATTCTTCGTCGTTCTTCTCTTCTTTCTGCTCTTCTTCATTGCCATCATCCCAACCGTCGAGTTCATCCTGCGATTCGTCTTTCTCACCAGAATCCCAAGGATCTGGAGTTGAGTTATCATCAGACATCCTGCTGCTGACAAAATAAGGAAAGCAGAGTGCAAGCAGTAAAAATATAAGCTGCTAAATATTCTTTCTGCAGACGAAATGACTACTTCAAATTATGACCACGGCAAATAGAAGAACTACCCTGAGTTGCTTTAGATACAATAATGTTCTTGACATAGGTAGCAAGCATTTATACTTTACGAAGCATGTCTATTGAGTTTATAAAAACTAAATTGTAATTTTTCTTATCTAAGTGTCGGTTGCTATTATTACTTACAGAAGTTGAAAACATTTTTTTACTGAGTTACCCTAGTGCTACAAGTTTTGGTATGATTGGAAAACGCTGCCACAACTCCCCTATTCGCCCACTTCGGCACTCTTCTGATACGTGCTTTCTGTAGTATTGTGCATGATCAACGTGCATTGCTCTAATACGTGACAGCCAAGAACGTACCGCCTCCATCGTTTTTCAGTTGCTGTGGGCGTTGAAGGAAACGGAGTCGGCAGACCATATGTACATATTGAGAATTTCACTTAAGGATAAAAGAACTTCTGATAACAAATGAAACAGTATAATTTTGATAACTTTGTACTTTTACACCTAATTACTTTTTTTTCTAAATTTAAACTAAAGGGAGTACTTGTTTTCGTTCCTGGTATAACAGAAGGAACTTTTTCAAAGAGATCATAAATTATTTGCACTATTTTTAGGAAATTCAGAATTTGTAGATCATTTTTGAGCAATAACCTGGCTGATTTGTTCCTTAGTTTTTTGCTTGCAGGAAAATATTAATTATTTGTAAAGTTCTTCCTGAAGGAGAGAGGCTAGTTTTTTACTTGTTAATATGCACAACAAGTAACGAAGATCAATACAAAATGATGCTGTGAAAATCATTAAAAGAGAAGTAGAAGTATAGCTGTTATAATTTCTAATTTTCACTTGGCACACAGTGTCCATTTAAGGAAGTGTAAAGTTGCAAATTGAGGATTACAAGCTTTATCTGCTGAACGTAGTAAAAATGATCGAATAATCAGACCAATTGTGTTTCGATATTTATACAAATTTTGTTACACACTTATGACTCCAGCTTTTATTTGTCTTTTAAGCTCTGCTTCTGAATTCTACTCATAAAGTTTTTCCTTTTTTTAAGAAATCGGACAGCGTTTCCGCTTAGAAGCTTCCAAAGGCACAAACCCTTAGTTTCTCAAAATCATTCTTTCCAGTTCCTTTCTTTCAAAATCTTCGTATGTGGCTCTTAAAATATTTCTTAGTTAGAATTGTACTGAAAGAAAACATTATTACGAACAATTTTCGTAATTCCCTTTGTTAATGTCGTGAACGTTTCTTTGCACTTCAAGCAGTGTTGAGCGATGTTTGTTTTACTGCTATGGTTTTACAGCTGTAAATTGTTTGACACTTAAACATAAAATTGTCTTCTAATTGCTTATTATCTGCTTATTAAATTTCTAATTAAACCACTACGGTCTGAAATTTTTAAGTAAATAATTACTGATTGCAGGTAATAAAAAAAACCTGTTGTTTGACAAAAACGGAAGCAGCAGAAAGCGCCAGAGATAAGAAACTTTTTTAAGTTCTTTGCTGCATCGGCTCAGAATGATTCATTTCTTTCATGAAAGAAGTTTAAAAAAATTTAATAGTTCATTGGAATACCAGCTGTAAACAAAAAAAAAAATGTTTAAACATAGCTATATGAGATAAAAAAGGACTATTCAAAATTCAATCTAATGTAACTGTTCTTTCTGAGGCTACAGTTGTAGCTTCAAAGAAACAAATTGTTTGGCAATCGCAAAGGCAGAAAATAATGTCTCAAAATGTCTAATAAATAAACTAAGATACAATTTTTTGCTTTCTTCGAGCTGGACAACGACAGGAAGTATTCTGTGGTGGTATCGAGTTGAAGCGGCGATCAGTGTGTATTTGACCTGAAACAGGCTGGCGAAGCAATGCAAAACATTTAAACTTTAGTAAATCCTGGAAGCAGGAGCAGAGTGCTCAGCATTCTTGTAACAGTAGCTCCAAGATGTTTCCAGCCAAAATTCCTCGTTCACTGGCAAAAACTTTTTCTGCTTCAGCTCAGTCTTTTTCCGCAAGCATGGATTTTTTAGAAGTTTACTTCTCAAACAGGGAATTAAAGGCAGCGTTTGGTCTCAGGGTGGATTTACTTTATAACCACTTTATAGAACAAAGACCCAATGCTACCCGTAGCGTACAGTCTAATCTTTCTTTTCTCAAAAATTTTTAAATTTTTAAAACTCGAGAATTTTCGACTTTGATAGTAACATAAAAATAATTGTCTTCTCAGATGCTTTTTGAGTATCAGCTGCTCATGTACGCTTAAATAACTCAGTGTTCAAGAAAGAAAACTTCACTCCCACAACGACCCACTAGCTAGCTGTAACATTTCAAATGAAGCCTTCTTTTTTCAAACTATCCAAGTGATTTTTCTAAAAGTAGAAGCATTTTTTCATAAACCGTATTTCCGCTGTACTCACGTCCGTTGATTTATTTTTGACAAAAACTAGAAAATGCAACCCTATTTTCTGTTTTGTTCTTAAAGGCTTTCACTACCCGTTTTTGAAAGCGACTGCTTCATTTTGGTAGCTCTATCCTCTTATTGGTTGAAATGAAACACAGCCACATTAATTTCCATCCAAATTCATTGGCTTGCTTGGCTAAAATAAAAGTAGGCTACCAAAATTGAAACAGCTTCTAGGCAACATTAGAAAGTATGGGTATTCTGAAGCATCACTCACTCTTACCCGCAGTTCATTGGAAAATTTCGTAGACCTCGTCTCTGTTATTTTTTAAACAGTTACCACGTTGTAATGGTCGGAATAATTCCGGTAAATAAAACTTGCTTCCCAAAAGTGCAAAGGTAATTAGAAAACAAAGACAAATACAGTTTTTAGAACCGAGATCAACACAAATAGGATTGATCTTAATGCTACCTTCAACAATAGACGATTAGGCTTCTCTTGGGTTCAGAGTAATAAACAGTTGACCCT